ATATGTACATGTCTTTATCTAGAGCTCTATAAATGCCCTTGGCCTCCCAGGAAAGTGTTTGTTTTTATTGATAGTGTTTACATGTGTGCAGACAAGGGGAGCCCCGGTGGCATCGTGGGTCAGCAGTTCCACGCCACCAGCTGCCCGGGGCTTTCGACTCCTATAAAAGAGTCACAATCTCAGAAACGCACGGGGCAGTTCGTCCATGACTCATCCGCGCATGCAGCGCGTTGGGCTTTGGGTTTTGTGTGTATCCGGAGCCCTGGTGGGCGTCGGGTGAAGCACTGGGCCTGGAGGCATGAGGTCAGGAGTTTCAACCCCCCAGCTGCTCTGCAGGAGAAAGAGGGGGCCGTCTGCTCCCGCATCGAGTGACAGTCTCAGAAACCCACCCACAGGGACAGTGCTGCCCGGCTCTGATGAATCTGCGATAGCAGTGGGTCTGGTTTGTGGCTTAAAGTAGGTCACCTCCATTCACAAAGTGTGTCCCCAGGATTGTGCCACCACCTGGGGGCAGGCATTGTAAGTCATTGAACCTGCCCCACCGCCGATGAGGGTGGCCACACTGACCACCCACAGCTGGCTCGCAAGAAACTGAGGCACAGAAAGGCTAAGTGCCTCCCCTAAGGTCACAGCTTGTCACTAACTATGAGTCAGCCCCAGAGTGCCCTCACCAGCCCAGCCTGGGAGGACAGCTCAGAGCAGGGCAGACACAGTGTCATCTGGCCCTCAGGCCCTGGGGACTGCCGTATGTGGGGACTCCAGTGGGCTAGATGCATCTAAGACTGGGAGACCCAGATTGTGGGATGGACGACCCCTTGGGAAGGGAGCCTAGAAGGAGAGTCCAGGGGAGGTCAGCCGAGAGCCGCTCTGCGAGGAGTGACTTGGGGCATTGACCCTGCCCTTGGCTTGCGTGGGGGCTGCGCTCGGTGCCAGGGCAGAGGTAAGGAAGACTTGCCAGGGGCCATCCAAGGCCACCGATGCCCACGTACCCCCTGCTGTGTCCCCCCCCCACACACAGAGCGCAAGCAAGACTGGTCTGACCACGCCATTTGGTGGGAACAGAAAAGACAGTGGTTGCTGCAGACCCACTGGACCCTGGACAAGTACGGGATCCTGGCTGATGCCCGCCTCTTCTTCGGGCCCCAGCACCGGCCCATCATCCTGCGGCTGCCCAACCGCCGCGCGCTGCGCCTGCGGGCCAGCTTCTCTCAGCCACTCTTCCAGGCAGTGGCTGCCATCTGCCGCCTGCTCAGTGAGTGCTCGGGCACCCTTGGCCTTCGGGGACCTATCACCTTGGCCCCGCTTGCCTGTCTCCATCCTGTCGGCCCCAGGATACCCAGGGGAGGGTCGGGGAAGGGGGGTCCCAGGGCAGGCCCCTGGCCCCTCTGAGGCCCCAGTTCCCCGCAGGTATCCGGCACCCTGAGGAGCTCTCTCTGCTCCGGACCCCCGAGAAGAAGGAGAAGAAGAAGAAGGAGAAGGAGCCGGAAGAAGGGGTGTATGACTTGTCTAAAGTCACCCTGGCTGGGGGTAAGCACAGCAACACGGGAGCCGGGTGGGGGGACAGGCACAGGGGGCCAAGGCGGGGGTGAGGGGGGCAGGCCTGGTGACCTGCCCTGCCTCCAGGCGTGGCACCTGTGCTGTTCCGGGGGATGCCAGCCCACTTCTCGGATAGCAAGCAGACAGAGGCCTGCTACCACATGCTGAGCCGGCCCCAGCCCCCGCCTGACCCCCTCCTGCTGCAGCGCCTGCCTCGGCCCGGCTCCCTGTTGGACAAGACCCAGCTCCACAGCAGGTGCCCCGTCTCCCCGGGTCTGTGTCTCCCACCTAAGGCTGGTGCCTCTCCCCTACCACCCCTGGCTTACCCTGACCCCTCTGTGCCATGCCCAGGTGGCTGGACTCTTCACGGTGCCTCATGCAGCAGGGTATCAAGGCCGGGGACATGCTCTGGCTGCGGTTTAAGTACTACAGCTTCTTCGACCTGGACCCCAAGGTGGGTAGGGGACGGGTCAGGAAGAAGGCGGGTGTCTAGGGTCAAACAGACAAGGTGTCTGAGGTCTGGGAATTGAGATTTGTGTGTGTGGGGTGGGGGGTCTGTCTGTGGGGCTAGACTTCTGTGCATTTTTCTGCAAATGCTCTGCCCTGCTGGCGAGGCTGTGGCAGCCTGTGGATGTCCATAGCAGCTCCTGTTGTCCCCCCCCTGGTGTCAGAGCAGAAGCTGCACCCCATAGGCTTGTCGAGGCAGACACGGACCCCCAGGTCTTTGTGCTGACGCTCTTCCGGGTGGGTGTGAGCTACTCATCTTGTCAAGGGAATCACAGTTTTCTCCACCCCCGGGGTCGGGACCCGAATAGTCTTGGGTTCTAAGAGGTCCTCAGAACCCAAAGTGGGTTTCTAGCGATTTCTTCCAGCTTATGTCTGTGTGCCGTGTCTGCATCCCCCGGCTTACTGACTGACACCCTCCACCCTCCCACCCAACCCATTTGCTGTGGGTGGGAACGAGCTGACTTGACTCATGGGAACCTCGTTCGTGGGTCATAGAGTGGGGGTGGGGGTGGGTGGGGTGGGGGTTGTGCCTGCAATCTTAAAAGAAAAAAAAGTTTGACTGGCATATCATTCACATATCATACCATTCAAGCGTTCCGTCACATCAAGAAGAGTTGTCCAATCACTACCACCCGTTTCAGAACCTTGTCTTCATTCCTGTGCTCATTATTAGCTGCCCACTTCCCTCCCTGCTACAACCCCCATGCCCACCCCCAAGGGACCAGTCACCCAGCGACTGCAGGGGTTCTCAACCGTCCTCAGGCCGCGACCCTTCCAGACAGTTCCTCGTGTGGCGGTGACCCCCAACCAGAACATTATTCTCATTGCTACTTCGTCACGGTCATTGTGCTACTGTTAAGAATCGGGCGACCCCTGTGGAAGGGTCATTCGACCCCCAGGTTGAGAACTGCTGAGTTACTGTCTCTCGAGTTACCTACCCTGGATTTCGCATACAAAAAACATGTTTCCAAAAACCTAGCAAAGTAAAAACGGATCAGCACAGCAGTGGACAAGGAAGCAGGAAATATCACAAAGCCGGCACACATTTAACGGAATCATCAGGGAGATCAAATGATAGGGTGCTACATTGGACCCGACCGGCCTCTGGCACCGCCACGCTCCAGTGCGTTCCTGCGTGACAGCCAGCACCTCAGACCTTGATGGCAGCAGCTCGTGTGGGCGCGGTGCCAGCTGTGGAACCACTGTGCGGGTTCGAACTGTCCATCTTTAGGTCAGCCGGGTGGTACAGACCGTCCATGCCCACGGGGGACCTTCAGTCCTTGGTAAAAACAAGACGATGGCCGTAAATAGTAACGTATATAAACAGAATTCTTTGGTGAAGCCACAGAGCGCGTCTAAGACGGCATTTCCTTTCTTGGTCAGGCCTGTGAGGGGCTTGCTGTTGCTATATTTGTGTTTACTTTCCTTTCTTTTTTTAAATCGTTTTACTGGGAGCTCATACAACTCTTACATCTGTACATTCATTGCCCTCATCATTCTCAAAACATTTGCTCTCCACTTAAGCCCCCGGCATCAGGTCCTCATTTTTCCCCTCCCTCCCCGCTCCCCCCTCCCCCATGAGCCCTTGACAATTTATACATTTCTATTTTGTCATATCTTGCCCTGTCCGACGTCTCCCTTCACCCACTTTTCTGTTGTCCATTTTGTTTACTTTTCTACCAACTGCCTGCGTTTAGAAGAGGTGCTCTGAGAGGAGCTCTGGATGCCCTCCAGGTGGCCGCGCCTTGTCCTTGCTGGTCTTCTGCAGGACCAGACAGGGAGGAGCCTGATGCTCGCCCCTCCGACATCACAGCCCAGTCGTGGGACACCTTTCAAAACGGTCCATCACAGGCTACTTGTATCAGTGCTCCTCCCTTCTTGTAACGTCTCAGAAGAATTGCAGCCAGAATGTTCCTTAGAGGATTCTAAGGATGGTGAGGATTCTCACACACACACACACACACACACGGATTGTGAGGATGGCACAGGACCAGGCACTGTTTCCTTCTGTTGCACAGGGGTTGCCATGCGTCAGGAGTGACACCGTGGCACCCAGCAACCACACTCTATCCCACCCACTGCGGGACTGCCGTCCTGGGCCCTCCCTTCCCACCTCTCTCAAGACGTCTTGTGCTGGGCTTCCGGTTCCCTGCCTCTCTCGTGTTCCTCTTTCTGGATAGGCTCCCTCATAAAGACAGAGGACCTATTTCAACGGCTTCTCTTCCTCCTGAAGGGCCCGTCATAAATGGTTTGGAGCCCAGCTTGCCTGAAAGGATCACTCTTCTGCCCTCACCTGCACGATAGTTGGGCTAGGTATAGAATTCTAACCCGGACACAGTCTCGTATTCCTGGCATCGTGGTTACCCGTGTCGGGCTGCTCACTGCAAGGTCAGCAGTTTGCAACCACCAGCAGCTCCTCAGAGGCGGGGGACGGGGTGGGGTGGGGTGGGGAAGATGGGGCTTTCTACTTCCGTAAAGAATTACAGTTTTGGAAATCTACACGGGCAGTTCTGTGAGTCAGCATCAGCTGCCAGGATGGCAGTGAGCGTTTTTTTGTGTGTAGCACTCCATTATGTCGATGGATGCTAATTCGTTGGTCCATCCTGCTTTTGGTGGCCATGGCACCATTCCAGCTTGGAGTCTCTATTGACAGAGGTGCCATGGACATTCTAAGTCTTTTGGTGAGTTTCTGGAAAGTCCATACCCAGTAGGAGTTTTGCTAGGCTATTCGGTAGATGCTGGTTTGGCTTTAGCAGCGAACAGCTAGAGAATGTTCCAAAGTGATGGCACCACTTTCACACGCCCATCAGCTGTACACGGGAGCTTCGTTTCTTCTAACTTCACCCATACTTGACATCTGCCATGTTTTTCGTGATCGTGATTCTGGTAGGTGTGTTATGGAAGCTTATGTTTGGTTCTGTCAGTAGTTTGTGTTTGCTTCTTTCCTCCAAGACCTTTTTATTGGGAGGGAATACAGCTATCATATCATTCCACAGTAGAATCACATCAAGCTGAATTGTGCGATTGCTACCACAGTTTCAAAACATTCTCTTCCTTCTTGAACTCCTTGATATCAGCTCCCCTTACCTCCCCTCCCCACTGTAACAACCCCCCACCCCCAACCCGGAACTGTTATTCTACTTGCTGTCTCTATAGGCTCATCAATCCTGGGTTTCATCTACCTAAAAACAGAAAACCATGTAACAAAAACTCAAGAGGGCTACCACCAGTGACAAAATACATCAGGTCTAAACCCCAAATGTAAGGGGTGGGGGTGAGAAAGAACGTGTATGGGGGCGAGGGGGGCGGTCAGCTGACAAGGTTTTCGCTGTTCAAGTCAGATTTACCATTTTTATCTCCTGTGGTTTGGTTTTCTGTCTGTGTTTTTTTCTCTAGCAGCTTTATTGAAGCCTAGTGTATACACCATCAAAGGCACCACTGCAAGTATCTGATGGGATTGCGTTCATCTGTAAGGAACTTGTCCTGTTGTGAAACCAGCGTCACACTGCAGTTTGGAAGCATTTCCATGACCCCAGAGAGTTCTCCATGGTCCAGCCACCACTGTCCCCTCCCACGCTGACCCCAGACAATCACTCATCTATTTCTGTGTGCGGTGGTGGTGTTTTTTTTTAAAATGTGGTTTTCGTTGACACTTCCCCGATGACTAATGAAGCGGAACACGTTTTCCGAGGGTGATGAGCCTTTGGGCATCTTTTCTTGGTGGCGGTGATGGTGGCATCGTTGCTATTCGTCTTTTGCCACGTTTGGTAGCGAGTTGCCTTTTTTTCTTTCCCGATTGATTTTTTTTTTTTGGTCTTCATTTAAGGTTCCGTATTGATTTCTGAGAGTCCTTTATGTATTCTGGCCGTGCACACTTGGTCAGATCAACATGTCGTGAATGCCATTTCCCACGCTGCCTTTCGCCTTTTCATTCTCTTCATGGTTTGAGACATGCAAGGTCTTCTTTTTTAAGCTCTTCATTTTAAGGTAACCCAATTTTTCATTGTCTTCTTTTAATGAATATCGTTTGTGTCCTGTCTGAGAGACCTTTCCTCTCCCAGGAGCACAGAGATGACATCTGACGTGTTTCCCTAGAGGGGTTCTTGTTCTGCGCTCCATCTGGAGTTGAGAGTTGGGATCCAAATACAATTTTTTTTATCATTTTATTAGGGGCTCATACAACGCTTATCATCAAATACACACATCAATTGTGTAAAGCACATTTGTACATTCATTGCCCTCATCATGCTCAAAACATTTCCTCTCCACTGAAGCCCCTGGCATCAGGTCCTCATTTTTCCCCTCCCTCCCCGCTGCCCCCACAATGAGCCCTTGATAATTCATAAACTATCATTCTGTCGTATCTTGCCCTGTCCGACGTCTCCCCTCACCCACCCCTCTGTTGTCCGTCCCCCAGGGACGAGGTCACATGTAGATCCTTGTAATCGGTTCCCTCTGTCCACCCCACCTTCCCTCTACCCTCCCAGTATCGCCACTCACACCACTGGTCCTGAAGGGATCATCCGCCCTGGATTTCCCCCCGCCTTCCCCTCCCCCTCCTGGTATGGCTACTCTCAATATTGGTCCTGAGGGGTTTCTCTGTCCTGGATTCCCTGTGTTTCCAGCTCTGGTTTGTACCCGTGTACAAGCTCTGGTGTAGCCAGATTTGTAAGGTAGAATCGGGATCATGATCGTGGGGGGAGGAAGCATTAAAGAACTAGAGGAAAGGTGCATGTTTCATGGGTGCTTTGCTGCACCCTGACCGGCTCGCCGCTTCCCTGTGACCCCGCTGTCGGCTGCAGGGTGGCATTTTCTCCCTCTGTGAGACGTTGGATTCTGTCTGCAGCCTGGTCTTGAGTTCCAGTAGTCTCGCTTTCCTCCTGCTGACTGCAGCCTCTGTCGCTCATGCTAGCAGCTTTCCCCAAAGGTGGGTGACCCCTGCCTGGTCATTCCCGCTTAAGAGTCACTCCCTACCCTAAGAGGCTGAACGGAAGCCCTGCGTGTGGGAATCGCTGCGGCCCTGGGCTCGGCCCCGACTCACAGCGACTCTGTGGACAGCGGGCACAACGCCGCCTCTTCTGTGCCATCCTTCCAGACTGCTGTGGCAGCCACGGGCCCAACCCAGCTCCTGGAGGCCCTTCCTCTTTTCGGTGGCTCCTCGGCTTTCCCGGCAGCATGCCCTCCACGGGCGAGTAGAAGGCTTACTGTCATTATTTTCGGTGACAAGTGGGAAGAGGCTGGGGCCTGTCCCAGCCTTCAGAAGCCAACTCTCTCGGAGCTCGTCTGTTTGGGGCCTCGCCTGGAGTGCCTGGGGGCTTCTCGGCGCTTCTGCAGGGACTTAGGGGGGGACCTGCTCCCCTCTCAGAGCCTTTCAACCTGTCTCCTCCTGACTGCACCCCGGGCTCTTCATTCTGGATCCAAGTCTAGAGCCTGTCGAGGGTCCGTCGCGTGAGCTGGATCGGGGCTTTCTGTCGTCCTCTGAGTGGGGAGTGCCGTCGGCACAGAGCACGGAAGGAAAGGCAGCCTGAGCACCTGGCGCTCCGCCTGCCCACTCGGTTTCCATCTTCCAGCGTCGGTTGACATCTTGCACCTGCCGTTGTCCCCTCCTTGCCTCTTCTTTGTCCTTTGGGGTTTACCTCTAGTACCTGTTTCGGTTGGGTCTCAGAGGGCATGGGGTTGACCACCTGTGGGTCACTGGGGTCCCCCCTCCCCTTGGCGCCTCCACACCTCCAGTTCCTTGTCTCTGGGATGCTCTTCCTACCACGAGTCACACGAGGGATCGGCTGTCCCCCTTCAGGTCTCAGCGAGTGGCAAGATGCCACCTCCTCCATCAAGCCTCCCTTGACTTCTTCTGCGGAGCGGCGCTCCACACGTAGCCCACGCCCTCACAGCACCACCAAGGGGGGTGGCCTCGCCCCAGGGCTTGGGCCCGCTCTTTCTTGGTGTGTGAAAACCCAGCTCTGCCTTTTATTTTCACGTTACTGTGCTGGAAAACATACCGAATAGAGCCTGACCTCACAGCCTCCACGATTGTATCAACCTTTCCATCACCTCGAATGGCAGCCCTGGCCCCAAAGCCAAGGCACCCCGCCCTCTCTCTCCCCCAGGCCCTTAACCTTGGATTCCGTGTCTTCCTATTGCTCGCTCACCGCCATGGCGTCCATTCAGGCTCAAGGGGACCCTTTAGGACAGAGTAGAATGGCCACTGTGGGTTTCCAGGACTTTAAAAATCTACATAAGAGCAAAACCAGCCTCCTCTTGGTCCTGAGGAATGGCGTGGGTTGGGACCACTGACCTGGTGATTAAGCAGTTCCATGTATAACCCACTGGGCCACTGGGGCTCCAGATACTTCTATCAAGCCCCACTGGGCAGGAGCCCCAGGGGGCACAGTGGTTATGAGCTGAGCTGCGATCCACAAGGTCTGCAGTTCGAAACCACCAGCTGCTGCTTGGGAGAAAGATAGGCCTGCCTAGTTACAATCTCAGAAACCTGGGGGGGCGGGGGGAGTGCTACCCTGTCCTACAGAGTTGCTGTGAGTCAGCCTCGACTCGAGGGAGGGCAGTGAGTTTTTTATTCCATCGAGTGGCGGATGCTGACTCAACGACCCTACAGGGCAGTGGCATAACCACTGGGCCACCCAGGCTCCTCCTCGGAGGCTGGCTTATTCCATATGCATGCGAACCCCCCAGTTGTCCCCGCGTGCTTGCCTCCCGGACTCCCCGAGGCTCCTGCTCGCCCTCTCTTGTACTCGCAGTAGTCAGCACACTGCAAACATTGGCTCATTGAACGATGAGCCAAGGGTCAGAGGCAAGAGGATGCTGTGTACCTGGGCAGTAGGAGGCTGTCTGACTGCAAAGCTGGGGTGGGGGTGCTGCTTACATGTTAGCGCTGAGCTCTGGGAGGGGGGTGAGGGGTGGAGAGAAGGACAGGACAGAAAGGGGCAGTTGGCATCTGCCCACTGCAGCATCTCTCGCCCACTGCAGACAGACCCCGTGCGGCTGACGCAGCTGTACGAGCAGGCTCGCTGGGACCTGCTCCTAGAGGAGATCGACTGTACAGAGGAGGAGATGATGGTGTTCGCCGCCCTACAGGTACCCCTCGGGTAGTCCTCAGGGAAGGGGTGACGGCTGGCCTCGCTTGGGAGGCCCTGTTGATGCACGCCTCTGGCCCTGTGTGCCCACCCAGTACCACATCAACAAGCAGTCACAGAGTGGGCACATGGGCGAGGCGGCAGGCACAGACCCAGGGCTGGATGACCTGGAAGCGGCCCTGAACAACCTGGAAGTGAAACTGGAGGGGTCGGCACCCACCGATGTTCTGGTGAGGTGGGGCTTGGGGCTGGGCAGGCTCAGTGTCCCGCCCAGGGGACCCAGGTTTCCCTCTGACCACCCCCCACCCCCTTCTCCCATAGGACAGCCTCACCACGATTCCGGAGCTCAAAGACCACCTCCGTATCTTCCGGTGAGGAGTCGAACTGGAGCAAGGGGCCCAACTAGAGTAGGGAAGGAGGGGGGTGGCCTTTCACACGGCATCCCGCTGTGCCCCCCCCCCCCAGGCCCCGGAAGCTGACCCTGAAAGGGTATCGCCAGCACTGGGTGGTGTTCAAAGAGACCACCCTGTCCTACTATAAGAGCCAGGATGAGGCCCCCGGGGACCCCATCCAGCAGCTCAATCTCAAGGGTGAGTGAGATTCTGGGGGCCAGGACTGGGCAGGGCTGGGCTCCACCCGGCTCCTGAGGCCCCTAGTTCACCTGGGTTTCCTGGGGGGGGGGGGAGAAACTCACCCTGTGGCCCGGGGTGGCCTTGTCCTCCACCCTTCCTTCCGCTCTAGGCTGTGAGGTGGTCCCTGACGTCAACGTCTCCGGCCAGAAGTTCTGCATCAAGCTCCTGGTGCCCTCCCCGGAGGGCATGAGTGAGATCTACCTCAGGTGCCAGGATGTGAGTGCCACAGGGCAAGGCGGGGGCCAGGCCAGGCTTGAGAAGGGTGTGAGATCCTTGAAGGGAAGGAATTAAGAGACATTCAAAAGTCTGGGGTGACCACCTCCCCCAGGGGCCTCAGGAACCAGGTTCACGCAGAGACAGAGAGAATATATTCCCAATGTCAGTTTACATACTCTCTCTCGGGGCATGGGGTGGGGGGCTAATTACAGGTACCCA